ATAATAATAATAATAATAATAAAAACTAATATAACTTTTTAATTTGTACCGAAATAACCTCTTTTTGTTACCTACTGAACAAAAATGACCTTCATATGTTCTTGCTTTCAAATAAAGTGTAGTTTGATTTATGGCTTTTAATGGATAAACAAGATGTGAGAGGAAATGAAACAGTGAGGGGTTTAATCCGCACCGGTTCTTGGCTCAAGTCTTCAGCCCACCAAGACGTCCCACGGTGAGAAAACCTTGACCTCAAGACTCTGAGAACGAGGTTCTGTCACACCATCAGCAGCAGAAGCTAAACCACTCTCATTTCCAACCTCTGCCCAACATTGATCACTGAAGTCGAGTTAAATTTATAATTTTCCGCTCCTTGTAGCCTCCTGTCAGCACTCGATCCAAACACAAAGTGAAGGAAACTCTGCTGCTGGATTGTTTTTCCACTGCTTTTTGWGCCAGCTTTACATTTTGAGCCAAAACACTAAGTCACGATACTGATGACACTCTGCTCTCCATGCAAAACAATGAAATTACATCTGAGGAAATAGTTYGAGTTGGTATTTGTATTTTTTTAAACTACATCTTTCCTTGGAACAGAGACTTTAGATGCCTCTATTAATGTTTGTATAAAATCCCTGAATCGTTTTCAGAAACAGTGACCAGAGTTTCAGAGTTGTTTTAACATGCTTTGTATATTTTGTTTTACCTGCTGTTTGACACATCTTAGGTGTCTGAAACACCTGTTGGCATTTAAAACTTTTTACAAAAAACACATCTTCCATTCAATTTGATCCTCTTCTATTATCCACAGCATGTTAAAAATCAGTCTTTTGTTTACAGTTTCACATCTGAAAATGACAGTTATCTTGATGTGATGTTTACAGTAATCTGACAGTTGTGATGGATAAAAATAAGTGATAATGGGCTTAATATTTACAGCACATTACAAAATATATACTGTATGATGATGTGATACAGTAAGAAAAAGACTAAAATAATTCAGCATTATACCACAAAAGATAGTTCAAACTTACCAAATAATTCAATACAACAAGATATGAAACGATACAACAAATACAAGATGATCCAAGAAAAAGTACAATTTGATACAATAAAGCACCTCACAATACAAGATGATGTTATACAAGGTGATACAAGAAAATACAGTACAATTTGAAACAAAGATGATACAGTACAACAAAAGACAATACAATACAAAATGATACCATAACAATCGATACCAATACACAACGATATAATACGATACAATACACAAAGATACATACAATACACAACTATACAATACAATACACAACGATATAATACAATACACAACGATATAATACAATACACAACGATATAATACGATATGATTCAAAACAATGCAATGAAAAATGATACGATTCAATACAATACACAATGATATAATACGATACAATACAAAACAATACCATAAAAAATGGTGCCATACAATACACAACGATACAATACAATACACAATGATATAATATGATACAAACAAAACAATACCATAAAAAATGATGCCATACAATACACAACGANACACAATGATATAATATGATACAAACAAAACAATACCATAAAAAATGATGCCATACAATACACAACGATACGATACAATACACAACGATACAATACAATACACAATGATATAATACGATACAAAACAAAACAATACCATAAAAAACAATAAAATACACAACGATATAATATGATACAATTCAAAACGATACAATACAATACAAAACAATACCATAAACAGCGATACGATACAATACACAATGATATAATACAATATGATTCAAAACGATACGATGCGATACAATACAAAACGTTATCACAAAAAATAATACAATACAATACATAATGATGCATGACACAATACAAAACAATATGATTCAATACAAAATGATACAAAACGATACGATGCAAAACAATACATTACACAACGATACAATACAAAAATGATACTGTAAAACACAATTTGATACAAAGACAATACGATATGATACRATACAACATGATTACATTACAAGACAATACAACATGATGCACTGTGACCATAACAACAAGACAAAGACAATACAGTACAACATGACAGGCTACAAATATATGATACAAGACAAAGCAGTACAAGAAGATACAATGCAAGACAATGCAATATAACACAATACAAGAAAATATGATACAATAAAGCATAATACAACACAAGATGATGCACAACAATACATTACAACTTGAAAAAATACATGACACAATACAAGATAAGATAAGTTAGGATATTTATTGTTCAGAACCCAAATATCTGGACCATCATTTTGTAATTTTTGATTGATGTGTATTTACTGTAACATACTGGTATTGATACATTTTAAGAATAAAAACAAGACTCATCTTAGCTTCTTTGTTTTTCTACACAATCAAATAAAACCAGTGTTGATTTGTCTCTACTTTCGAATTGGCAAATAAGTCTGAAAGAACTCAGCATTCGAACAAATTGTCCTCATAACAAGAAGATTAAAGCGGAGCGTTGATCAGACACACATTTCTGCTTCAACCTTCACACACTGACAATCAAACCRAACCACAAAGCCTCAATATTGTCATATTTTGGATTTTTAAGCAGATCTAATCTACTGAACCCTTCTATGCCAAGTGTTGTGAAACCCAGTGAGTTATCGTTGACTTTTATAACTCCACTCTGCTGGCACTTTGTTTATTATGACTTTGGTTTCTCAGCACCTTTTTCGCTGCRGGGCGTAAGCCTTGGCAGCACCAAGCACCTGTCAGAGGGTCTGATTAAAGCCTTAAACAATTTCTTACATCATTTTTTCTTTACGGACAACTTCTGTTATCAGTTTGCGTTTCTTAACTCCTTTTATTAAACAGCACCTATTTGCCTCCACCCCAGCCAACTGAAGTCTCTGGTGTCCGTGGACCAAAGTGTGTTACTGACACACAAACGTGCCGTTTCGCCCCTCAATTTAGCTTTATTGTGCTTGTCTCACGTCCAAGGATTGCATTTTTTGAATACACTGTAAGCACACACACACACACACACACACACACACACACACACACACACACACAC